GTTCCAGTTCCAGAGGTTGAGCCCGGGAGCCCGCTTCCGGCTCAAATCCCTTTGCCACAGAGCTTGCTCAAGATCTGCTGCAGCGATTGTCTTGGAACAGTACATCATCGGACTTGAGAAAGCGTTCGCAGGCAGCGGGCCTTGTCGCAGGCCTTGTGCTGTTCTCATGCTAAGAGCTGGCTGGCCAAGCTTCAGCTTAAGCGTTTGCACCATCCGAATAGCCTGTGTTGTTCCTTCTTGCTGGTGTGTTCTCTGGTGCGGCTGAAGGCATGGCCAGCCGAAAGTACCCACGAGTTCCATGCGAACGTCGATGCACGTTGCACCAGATGCTTGATTGTTATGAGTAGCATTACAAGGTTTATGGACGGCTGAAGGGACAGTAACCCTGCTATCTGGGTATCTGGGACGCGCATGTCACAAGTGACACTTTGGAGATGTCACAAGTGAGCCTCTCCCGTTGTGGTTGTTGTTGCTGTTGACATTCTTATCAAAGCTTGTTTGTTGTCGTTTGCTTAGTGCCCGTGTGTGCTCCACTGTCAGAAGCGGATGTTCTGCGACGAAGCCTCTGGTGTTGTGGTTGGCCGCATCACCCGGAGGGGACGTCGCAGGGCTGTTCCATGTAGAGTTCCTGGGCACACAGAGCGTGTGACACAAAATGCACACCAGCCCAGAGGACTCATGTTTCAAGTTTTATAAGGACTGCACTTGCCAGCAATCACGAGGCTTCGGGTATGCCTGGCCGGTTCGGCAGGTTGTAACTCCACAATACTCTAGGCTCCACGTTCGGCAAAGGCATCCCCGCAGACTTATTTGAACACAAGTGTGCAACCTTATCCACTGGATTTTCCGATCCGTGACTCACTGCCGACCCGTTTCAAGAATTCCTTCAGCAGTGTGGGCACAAGATGAGTGTGTCGCAACCACGAGGGACCTATCTGTCCTGTCGGAATCACGTGGCACTGCATCTCTTCGGTCAATCCGGATCTACCGCCCATCAGTTGAAACAGTACCGACGAATCGGAGGTCGGTATGATCGTCGCAGTTGCATTCGGGTAGTTCTCTACATTGGGGGTCCCTTTTAGGGTCCTTTTATAAGGGTGCCGTACTTTGGGACTGGAAAAGGGACTCCAATTTAGAGAACTACCCTTTCGAGGTTGCAGAGGGTGTGCATCCGCCTGAACCTACGAGGCCGCTGTGTCCGCTGCCTCTGCAGACCAGCGAAGAGGACGTGCAGGCCGCCGGAGTTCCGAAGATACAGGAGGTGATGAGGGCAAGAGTTTGCAGCATGGGCTTAGCTTTAATAGATTTAACAGATTATTCCTATACTATAACACAAGTATGAGATAGCAAAACATAATATGATATAATGCAATATCACTTAACATCATATAACTATATTAACCTTGCTTTGAAGCTCCTCAGAGTCACATCAACATGTCTTGTGGGCAACTAACTATCACCTGCCAGGACGCCTTCGGCCGGGCCTCTGTCAGCACCTGACTTGCGGTAACCTCTGGTCGGTGGAATTCATGGGAGTATCTTCAGGCCTTCGTCTTTGGAGTGCCGACGAGAAGCTGCAAGAGGAGGATGCAAGATCCCCGGCACCTCAAAGTCATGAAAACTCTGCTCCTCTTCGCGCCACAAGGCTCCTGCCATTGCAGAGGAGGACCTCACAGGTACAGTTTTATCTTTGGCAGCTTCTGGTGCCGGGCCCTGAGACCTCCGTTTCCGACGACCTTTCAACATGTTGGAGCCTGAGCACTGACCAAAACGATTCCTTAGGGCCTTAGGGCTCCTTATTATTGAATTGGTACTAAGGGTATATCTAAAAAAACATCCCAGTCTAATCTTTGGGCCCCCCATGGTTACGATCTCAGGTGCCTCCTGGCTCGGTGCAATCGTTGCCTTGGCTGGTCGAGAGCTGAGATGCTGAAGGTAGTTTGTGGAGAACCTCATAATGATAATGATATTAGCAATAACGTTATCATTACAGTAATACTGGAGACGTTTTGCTTAGGACCCACCGCCGCTGGAATCTTTGGACCACGCCGTTGAGGCCTGCGACTGGGGCTAACTGCCTATATCTTTTGCATCAAACCCCGGCGAGCGGGGGAGTTCATGAAACCCTAATAAAGCCCTAAGCCCTAAACGCTTCGGGAGCTTGAGATCCTCCCGACACAGGTGCTGACGCTGCTGGGAGCCTTTGAAAACAAAGAGGAGAGGGTTCAAGGTTCAGGGTTTACAGGGTGCGGCCTGGTCGGATGAAATGACAGGCGCTTCTGTTTGTGTTCCCCACGAGGCCTCGTTGGTGCCATAACCATAAAACAAAACAAATAATCATGGTAATATCGATCGGGATAATGTTAATGAACAGGAGAATATACAACATGAAAAAAATTAAGAAGCTTGCTGTGACTTTTTGACGCAAGGATTCCAAGGCGCTGTCGCCTCATGGCCTTGAGATGGCAAGGTCGATGGGCTGATGTCCTGTTTTGGTCATAGGGAAAGGTGAGTGGCCGTTAGGCGCGGAACTTCGAGGTACTGGCATGATGGATGGGGGGGTTGCAACCGGTGAGTTCTTTTGATTTCAGGGAAAGCCACAGAGGGCTTGGCTTTTGGAGCTTCCTGCAACATGCGTCTCTGTGGAGCTCAGAGCAGTCAGTCAAGCAGGCTGCCTTTGCATCCGCGCTTGGCCCATCTTGCTCTGAAAGCGCCCACTATTCAGGACATCATGCTGTGCGGCTATGCAAGACAGAGAGTACTGGTGCACGGATACCATGGTCATCCCTGGTATTTGCGGCAGGATGATGGGACTGAAGATGCGGACTCCACCGTTGCAGAGCTTTGCGCCCTGCTCGAACAGGCGTGCAGATCACGTGGATGGCCCCTTTTCAAAGGGCTCTCCCATTCTCTCCCTGACGGGATAGCAATGGCGAAATTTAGCAGTAGTTCATGGGCATGGTTAGTTGGAATTCAGCATGACTGCTAGATGTGTTTGAGTTGAGAAGGTGTCGTCTACTAGCAGGAGGTCGCATAAGCAGCATCTCGGTTCTCACTTCCACATGTCTGCAGGAGAGAGACGCACTGCAAATCCAGGAGGGGCTTACGCTCGAAGCTGTAGATCTACGCTCTTCGTCTTCTTTGCCGGCTCTGTGTCATGTCTGACCGTCTGGCTGTTGTGGACACTGCTAGTGAGCTGCAGATTGGGATCGCGATTTTTGCCATGCGTGGTCGATCACCAGACAATGGAAAAAACGGCCGTGGTCTAGGCTATTTGGGCGATCTTCTGCTGCTAGGAGCGTGGCGCCAAAGTCACCGCCGCGCCTCGCTGTGCCGATGCACGTGTCAGGCCTTCTGTGCTCTGGTTGAATGAGAGTATCAATTCGCATGCACAGTCGTGTCATTCCAGGCTGCTTGCGCTCAAGACGAGAGCACTGCCTGATCGTCGGATCCTTGGGTTGTTTGATGTTGTTTGTGTCGACAAGTTCGACTCAGCTCCCAGCGTAAGCAGGCTTAGCAAGAAGGTACGCAGGACGGACAGAGACCAAGCTGAGCGGTTTGCTTGTGACGTGATGCGGATTCTGGGTGCTTGCAGACCAAGGTGCTTTCAGACAGTAGGACCCAGTAGGGATTTCATTGAGACAGAAGCCCAGTCTACAGGATGGCAGAGAGTGGCAGAGAGCCGAGGTTTGAAGGGCATCCGTGCAATTCCCGGACAGTGCCAGCAAGTGCCCTTCTTTGCCCGTGTCCTTGGGCTCTAGACAAAAGATGGTCTCTAGGTTCGTCGATGCTATATCAAGCGAGTAAGCTTGAGCCTTGTAGAGCTGGTACAATCCACAGAGCACACAAAGGCAAAGGGTGAACCAAGCGAGCTGAACTTATGCCCTCAGACTGCAGAAATCGCAATGAGTCCATAGAGCCACACGGACACGTGCACGTAATTTCTTTTCTGTGAAGCATGTCCCCGAGTTCCACCCATCAGCTTAACCTCGGCCAAGTGAGTAAGACACCCGGAACCAGACTATTTTGTCTAAGCAGTATGCTTAATGACGGTCAATTGGTACCTGCAAGTAAAGTGCTTATGTTAAATGTAGTGCAATGTAAATACTGTGCCGACGTCTGAACCAAGTGCACTGTAGCGTATGCGCGAGTGCACTCTTGCGATGCGCCAATACGATTTAATTTAAAAAGTTGTGTCTCTACGTTCATGCGTAGGATTGACAACTTGATAATATTTGGACATCGGCTGTGATGGAACTAAGCTTCATGCAACAAATTCAGTTTTATTCGAACTGTAAACTGGACGCCGGTTATTGCACGGACGATTGCGTTCATGATATGTGATTCGTGGTGGCACTGTGGTCTGTCTTTTGCCTCAAGTTGCAGCGTTGCTTTTTTAGTATTAGACTCTCGTTGCCCTCGTCCTTGTCCCTGTTGTGGTCTTCATCATCGTCTGTGTATGCATGGTGAGACGGCAGCATGGCCTGGGAGAGGGACGACTAAACTGTTAGGAGGGACTAGAGGGAGGGGGGTTTGTCAGCCAAGAGGAGACCCTCCAATAATAGTTGATTTTCAATATCATGTTAATAGTATGAATAGTACAGAATTTGAATACCAATATTAGCATGCCCTATTCGCGGGATCAAAGTCCGGTTTGGTTGCTGCAGTGCAAGCAGTCATACGGACAGTGGCATCACTCAGAAACCAGGTACTGCAAAGTGCTGCCCAGCTTCACAGGGTGCCTGTCCAAGCATCGAATCGAAGTAATGCCTTCCCCAATTCGTGCGGCTGGCAAGTGACATGCTATGGGAGATATGCGGAGCAATTTCCAGCGACTGCAGCTCCACTTTCCTGCAACGTCCTGAAAGTCACTGAGTCACTGACAGACTTTCGTCATGTTTTTGATGCAACAAATTGGAAACACTATTGCGCCGCCTCGTAAGGCATTGCAGTCGACCGTTGTAGTCACAACAAGTCACAGTGGCAGCAGGGCTGAGGAGGACTGGATGACAAGCCGTACTCGCCGGCATCCTCAACCTTGTCCCCATGCTCATCTCTCGCCAGCAGAAGCAGCCACGACCTCATCTTCACAGTCTGTTCTTCATCATCAACTGGCCAACATCATTGTAACCGTCATCATCATCATCATCATGTTCATAACGAGGCCCTTAGGCAAGGCCGCTAGCCCCCACCTACTAAAACGGGATCACGAGGGATAGTTGCATTCGAAAGAAGATACCTCGTATTGCCGTTAGATCACTGCGAGTGTGTGGGGGCCTAACCTGACCCAAAGCAGTACCATCGTTGGCATCTTCTCCATCCTCTTCCAGCCGGGATCATGCTTCACACTTACGGCCCAGGAGGTTTGCACGGCCTCTGGCATGTCGAGCGCATGGCAGAAGCTGATGCAGGCCTATTCCAGGTCCATCCCCGGACTATTTTGTAGGGTTCCCTTCTACATATATCATATACTGGTAGTATGATACAGACAAAAACTACGAGTATGTTGAGTGACGAACCCCCTTTCGAAGCTTCCGAGGAGCTCCCCGCTGCCACCAAAGCCGTGCGCATTCGGAATCCTGGACCTTTCCTCGCGCTGGCCTACCCAGAAAGGATCGCGAGGCTGGAATCTACGAAGAAGAATACTAAGACCTGATGATAATCGACGTGAACAAGAATGGCGCCGGAGATTACAAAGTTATAGCCTTGGTGAAGCACCGCCAATCGACAAGGAGTCCTTTGAGTCGAACAAAGCATGTTTGAAACTGACGCACGTCATGTGCCATGCTTTCGTAGGCTTCAGTGCATTCCCTACATTCACCTACTTTGCACTTCCTGATTCCTGCAATCGTAAATCAACAGATGCCGGCAGCAAGACAAATGGAGAAAGACAGTTTTGCTAGCATTGTTAGTAAGCTACTTTGCAGGCGGGTCAAGAACAACCGGTTCCTGCTTCGGGATGGAACGTCCTGTATTGCCGGCCACCTACACCCCAGTCGCCCAGTGATGGGCAAAGTTGGCTTGTGTAGCAGCAAGTCATCAAGGCGCCTGAGTGCCAAAGTCCGACCTAGGTGAAGGACCCCATCTTGCAGCAAGAGGCACAGGGGGCCTGCGCAGGTTCAGGAAAAGCTAAATGCAGAGTTCCGATGCACACGAAGTGATCTGCCATTGGGTGAAAAGCCATCACGACCCTTTCTTTCCCTGATGTTGTTTGACCCAAGAGCTGGGTACAGAGCGGAACAGTGTTGACGAGCTTCAGAAGTCGCGCGCTCCCTTCGAGGAGTTGCTTGCGGTGGGACGCATGTTCAGAACCAACGCGTGATCCTCGGCTTCGGGCGGAATCCCAAGTGGAGGTCCCCGTCAGAAGTCCGAACAGGCGCCCCAGCCTCTAAATCTTGAGATCGTGCTACTTACCTCCCGGCAAAAAGTTGTAGAGGCACCCCAAGCTTGACGGCTTGCAGAGGCCTGGTGTCACTTTTCTAGTTCGTTGTCGTTCGGACGATATTCAACAAATATGTATTATGTATACTTGACTAAAAATTCATTATTGGTTATTATTGTATAGTATGCGATAGTGAGCAAGACTTCAGGTCGTCACACTCGCAGCTCCACTGACCGCTTCAGAGGCCTTTGCCATGCCTACATCCGGTTCGGCATGAGTTCAGGTTCTGTACAGTTGCTGATGTTAGATATTTGCGGACTGAATACTACGAACAGGGTTAGGGTGGATATTATAGAGAGGCGACCACTGCACTCGCGTTATCAGTTGCAGCTAATGATTGAAGCGGCTGGCAGACATGGATTGTTTGGCCCGACCCTTTCAAACACAGAAGCCGTGGTTCTTTCATATCATGAAGAGTTCAGGGGCACCAAACGAGCTCAGTACCCGACGTAGAACGCATGTTGAAGCCTGTCAGCTCATTTTTCTGTCACGAACTGATCCGAAACGGCTGCTGAAAGATGTCGTAAGTAAACGGTTCAGGGTTTGTGTGCTGTGCTCGCTCTTTGAAGAGCCTCTTCCGCTAGCTGCATCCAGCCATGGCCACACAGCGCGAGCTTTCGCGGCCTGGCTGCGGTAACTGAGATCATGCTCTGGAAAATGCAGAAAAAAGAAGAAGAAAGTAGGACAAAGGCAGGAGGAATGAAGTCTGAAGCATGAAAGAGCAAACAAAGCAGGTCAAACACAAACTACCAGCAGCTTGTTATGACGGAGCTCGTCATGACCGGACTTATCGGGAGCCTTCCGGTGGTGTAGACTCGCAGAGTCTTGAGCCCTGAACCCCAAGCGAGGCCTGCATCGGTGGGCTGTGACTTTGCAGCTTCTTCGTGGCCTTCCGATCACAGCGAACCTGAATCTTGGAGGATACCTGAGAGTTTCCTAGGTCCTCTTTGCATGGAATCCTCGTATTCAGGGATGTTCGCATGTATGGGATATCAGGGATATCCTATGTTCCCGTCCTCCTATTATTTCTCTTCAGCACATGAGGCACCTTCGTGACTGCAAACACGTGCAATGTCTTGGGTTTAGGGTTAGGATACTCTTCTTAAAAGCACCTCTGAATCAGGACTCCTTGTTCTAAGCCTTCCATTTAAGGACTTGCAGTATGCACAATCAGACACCAGCACCGACGAGGGCGAGACCGCCGTGATGAGGTGCATCGTCAATGATCCGACAGATGGGGCTTTCAGAAAATTCCGGAGACCTCATTTGGGGTCCTTACAAGACGGATTCCATTAATACTGTTGTTTTGGGATCCTTGCGGTTTGAATTGTCATACCCGATTTCTGATCTCTGTTCCATGCAGGCTTGTTGGAAGGGCGGCACTTCGTCCGCCTCTGCGGCTTCGCAACGAGAGCTTCCTTCGCTCAACCTTTGCAAGGACTCAGAAAGCGAGGGATCCCAGGATAGAGTCTAAAATAGACCCGAGATACCACTGAAGACTGTACTAACCCCACTGAATTCTGCATTTGTGTAGGCATTCGTTGCAGAGCCACAGCAACCTCTACAGAAATTTCCTGCATCCATGTCCCGGTTTTTTAGACGGACGATAGTTGACACTGGATGGCCTACACCGCAAGCCCTGCAGGGCGAAGGAGTTCGGCAGCCAGGCATTGCACGTTGTTTTAGAGGCTTGCCTGAAAGCTAACCTGGTTTAGGGGTCCTTGCAATTAGGATGCTAATACAGAAGATGCCCCATGATTTTGCAGCTGGCGAAGTGATCGGCCCGCATGGCCACGCAGTATGATGATTGTTATTGTGGGTGTTCTTGGATATACACATGAAATCTGATGTCGAGATGAAGCTGCGGGCTTAACTTCCGGCCTTTCGTGGCTTTGACTTTCGGTCTGGCGGAACTCTTATTTGGATGGAGCTGAGGACCGCAGGGTGCAGTGGCTTGCCTGACATTTGAGCGATCTGGTTGCCGTCTTGCTTTCACTTTTCCCCACGCGTCCACCCACCCACACCCACCCACCGGCTTTCATGACTTTAATGATCAGGCAGGGGGCGGCGGCCGGTGCGCTGTCCTGTGGCGCCTGGGGCGGCTTCTGGGGACTCTGCAACGGCTCCGTCATCGGGTGCTCAGTCGCTCGCAAAGAGATCTGCTCCGAGGGTCGCACTCGCGGATGGGAGCTCTCGGTACTGTACTGCCTTGAAGTTCCCAGATTCTGGCATGCTTGAGGTTGAAAAGATGTGTGAACCATGTAATTCTGCTCAGGCCAGTTGTTATCTGTCTTCTGCACCCAGGTGTGGCAGTTTAGGATGTTCGCATCTGCAAGGTCCAGCCCTTCCGAAACCCTAAATTCTTAACCCCAAAGGTTCCTTTAATTTCGGCTGCCAATGCCTGCCAAGTATGACTTCAGGAACTCCGCACAAAAAGAGAGCAACCCAAAAGGTTCGAGAAGTACATTTCGGGGTTCCATTCCGCCGAGGTCGGCTTAATGGCAGCTCCCTTCACCCTAGGCTGGGCAGAGTTTGCATGCGCTCTTGCCTTGGGTGGGTCAGGAGGCAGTGTCAGTCTTGCTCCAAAGTCAATTCTAAATACTACTTACTGGTAAAAATGGCGGTCGTACTTGCTAGAATAGGGTTTTTGGCTAAATTATACCTACCATAACAATACAGGGAGGAAAAGGGCATACTCGTACGCCGACCCCTACATGACTTGGTTTTGGGGGGGGTCTACACCGAAAGGAGAGACCAACACGCGCAGTAGCATCCCACTACTGTAGCTTTCGTGGCCACTTCTCAAATTTCCGTGATCATCCTCCTAACATTTCTGGCACGCCTACTTCAAGAATCTCACCGCCCTGTCCTGTGCCAGGCTTTTCGGTCCCAGTTCTTACCTCCATGATGGCCTGGACCGGCCTCGTTGTGGGCCTGCTGGTTGCGTTTTTGAGCCGGGGCTTAGGAGAGCGGTTGAGCTCGAAGCAAACTTCGCCTCAGAACCAAAGTGAAGATGTGACGATCCCGGCCAGCGCTCGCACACTGCTGCACCAAGACCAGTGCAACGATCACCGTTAGATATGTCACCAAGCAATCAACATTCGTGCAGGTAGACGGGAATCAAGAGAGGCGTGTGGACAGTCAAGACAGCTACGGGAACATCTAGCAGCATCGTTCTGCAGCGAATTCAGGAGCAAGATGTGAGCAGCACTAGCCGCAACGTAAGTATTGCTAGCAAGCAGCGGAGTAGCTGCGCTCGTCAGAACTACGCTAACCACAGCACGGATGGTCAGATCTGAACCTTGTGGGATGTTGTTGTTGCTGGTATCAAGGTGCGATGCTGCCGATAGCCATCGCAGCAAGGGAGGTCAGTTTTATGAAGACAACGGCGCCACCGCGAAACCAGAATCACAACATTACTGGTCATGCGATTTATGATCATGCCGATAGTATCGTTGGTGATTGTATCTCGCACGGCCTCAAGCCTGCTTTGAGGCTCTTCGGCCGGGGTGGGGGCCGGCTTGGTCGGCCCGGCTCTTACAGACGTCGGGTTTCTAGCTTGCTGGTGTTTAGAGGGTCACAGAGTGGGTGTGGATGGATGTTGATGGCGAAACCTAAACTTAGGCAATTTGGAGGGGTTGCCCGTTACGGCTGAACAGGCAACATATGCAGCTAGGATGTCAAAGTATGTCTGTGACCGCTAGTGTTGCTACTGATGTTGCTGCTATTTCAGCCAGAGCAACAAGAACTACGACGACGACTACTACTATTGCTACTGCTACTGCTACTGCTACTACTACTGCGACGACGACGACGACTACTACTGCTACTACTTCTTCTACTGCTGCTACTAGTGCTAGTGCTGGTGCTAGTGCTAGTGCTAGTACTAGTNNAACAAGGAACAACAACAACAACAACAACAACAACAACAACAACAACAACAACACTGCTACTGCTACTGCTACCACTGGACCACTACCACTACCACTTTTTTAAATACTCCCACCACCACCACCACCACCACCACCACCACCACTACTACTACTGCTGCTACTGCTACTGCAACGTATTACTACTACTACTACTACTACTACTACTACTACTACTACAGCTACTACGACGACGACTCCTACTTTTACTCGTACTCGTCCTGCTACTACTGCTGCTGCTTCTGCGACCACCGTTATTGATTCTACTAACAGTACGACTCCTGCCGTTGCCGGCATCAGGCCCTCTGCTACTACGAAGACCACTACCAGTGCTCCACTGCCGCTGCCTGCAACTGCTTCTATGCCGACGACTGCGACGACAACCTGTGCTGTCCATGTTCACGATCGAACAGTCAAGTGTCGAAATCGTTGTCGTTTTGACACGGTAAACATAACTTATGTAGGCCATTACCTGCTGCGAATAAACGGGACTGCATGTGCTCCCAGGCGGTGGCTGCGCAGGGTACCTGTACAGTGTGCACAACACAGCTCGGATCCAAGGGGGCTACATCAACTGTTTGTGCCACGGTTGCTCGGAGCTCCTCCTTGTTGACTGGGCACCCTCCGCGTTCAAGAGCGCACAGCCCTGTTCTGAGTGACCAAGGAGCAGCGAAGGCCGCGCACACGGAGACGCCAGCAGCGGCAGCGTATGCTACAGTAACGCTTGTGCCAGCCACTTTGAAGTCTGCTGGCATTTGTAGCGGTGGGACGCGCTTGCGAACTCACCAACGCAAATTCGATGCTAACTCACCAGAGCAGGTTCGGCAGGCGTTGCTTCAACAGAGTGTGCTTTAGTTGTATTCTAGAATCTGGAAAACTTTGGCGCGACAAAGCCGATGCAACCTCTGCAATAGTCTTACTGTAGCTCGGACCCAGACGAAGTCTGGCTGTGGCCCTAAGTCTGGCTGTGGCCCTAGGCCCAAGAGGCCTCACGTTTGAACTCAATGCCGCGTGGTTTCATCTCCGTTTCGAGGGACGCCTTGCCCCACTAAGTGGCCTTGGATAGTGGTGCATTTCACAGCAAACGAGCGCAGTGCTTGACATAACTGCAACAGGGCTGGCCGCCCACGCAAGCCTCTGCGGATATGCTGTGAGCCCTGAGCCAGGATGAGTTGACACAAGAAGCACCATTGGAGCAGTTCAGTCTGAATTGTGCTATTGGACATGTTGCTGCGGATGTTGCGGGAGATGCGTACCTGGGTGTGCTCACTTGACTGAGTGCTCGGTGCTGGCTGGGCATGGAATTGAACGCCAAGTCTCAGCTTACCAAGAAAGGCTCATGGCCCATGGCCATCTTGTGGTATCCAAAAGAGGGCAACAAGAGCAACATCAGCAAATTGCCGCGTCCTGCAGAAGGTGGGAAAAGGACACGGCCGTACTTGCTGGAATGTGTCCTGGCTATATTGCTGTTGACTGACATAATATGATCTGCTGGAGAACTAGCACGAGCGACACGCGCTTCTATATATCTCGAAAACCTGGTCCCATCGTTCCTGCCGCCGATAGAACATGACGGAAACTAGGTCGACTCCTGGGTGTCATACGTGTTCTTGCAGGTGCAGCCAAGCGTAAGCCGAGCAAGCTGTGGGCATGTCTGTCACGTCGCCGTGTAGAGGTGTCAGAGCATACGGAGCCGAGAAGCTTGGGCATTCAGAAGGGCTGGTGCCTAGGTTTCAGTGTAGACGAGGCCGCAGGCTCCACTCTGCAGACTGCGAACCAAGCTCCCGATCTTCGGTATGATCCCTCTGAAGCGCCGCACTTGCCTCACCGGCCTCTGAAGATAGGAAGACTACACAGAGGATGGATATCTTGATCTAATCTACTTTACATTCTCATAGAGTTGGCACCCGACGGTGAGGCGGCGGCTCACTTGCTGGGCGGCGCTTTGTGAACGAGGGTCGCTGGAACGCAGATCTCCGACTCGCTGGGCCTTGGAGGCTCGTGCCACAGTCCTTGGCTGACTGTGCCCTGATTGACAAAGTAAGACAGTTGGGCATCTTCGGCTGAAAGCGTAGTGTCAAGCGTAGACATCTCTTCTTCGCCCTAGCGTTTCTCTGGACATGCCGACCGTTTCGGCCACCTCCACTTGGACTGCTCAGGGCTTTCTCCGGGATCGTGCATCACCATGTGCTAGAAATTGTCCGGTCCGTGCTTTGCCGCTTCAATTGAGGACCCTTTACCTCATCGTTCTTGTGGATATGGTGAACTTCGGCCTCTTAGCATGATTCTGATAAGCCGGACCGTCCTGTATTCAAGTCCAATATCAAGGCTGGTGAAGCTGAAGGAGGATGTCTGGACCTCACTGAGGTATGGTGTTCCCACTGCTGCCATCCATTGCCGAGCAATTCGGCGTGGATGCAGCTGCAGCGGGCAGCTCAGCCTCTCTCAACTACCACTGGGGCATGCATTTTGGTGTCCTTGCTTCCCACCCACGCTTCAATTCAAGCAAAGACTGGACGCAGCTGGACGCACCCTTTTTGAGACAACACCATGCAAAGATCGGCTAAGGTCAAGCAAGGTGGGAAGCTTGGCCACAGCATTCTCCGTGGCGCAGGCTACTACCTTGAACAGCTTCTGCAGCTTTCTATCCTCTGCTGGTCTTGGCCCAGTATAGCAGTCTGCATACACGACTTGGCCAAGGGCGCTACGCTCCCTGTCAACAACAAGTACCCCTGTCCAGTACGACCTAGGTGATTTGCACGCCCATGCTCGGGATGGCGTCTGAAAGATGTGGGCGGAGAAGGGTGCTTCTGATCGCAGTTTTTTGGCAGGACACTGCGCCGCGGCTCAATGAATGCTATTGACCTATTGCATCAGATTGCTGTTGTTGAATGCGTTTTGTGAGGTCGACAGCCATGACTGGATTCGAGTGGAGCTTCCCGATGGTAGCACCTTGGCAATACGGTGAATCAACGTGATGTTTGCAGAAGTAGCATCTTGCTGCGCAGTTCCTGCAAGCGGCAGTCTCCAGAAGCAAGACGTGCACATGTACCGCATGTATGGATGCTGAAAATATGTTTGATGTGTCGAGATGTGGCTTGCTTTCCCCTGTCCATGTCAAGTTCGGCTCGCGTGGCAATCTAAACGATTTGCTGCTTGTGCCCAGGTTGTTGCCCGCGCGATGAATGGTGCATGTGGAGGCCTCGAGATGGTGCGGCTCATATCGCGGCCTGTAGACCAGATGTTTTCAGGTTCGTGACCTTGCCGAGATTGCAAATGCGTTCATGGCCGACGTTACTAAAGGCAAGGCCTCAACAAATCTTGCTGCAAGCCGTTTTATAATGCCGCATGCATTGCTCTATGCCGTTTGTAATATATGAGTGCGGACTCTATAGTAATATTATGTCCCTTCCAGTTAAAGATATGGTTTAAAAGCAGGAGTTTCAATTCAAGATATTTTTCCTTAGAGCGTTAGGACCAAGTCTTCTAGGAAAAATTAGAATTTCATTCCTTGGTCTATGTGGCTTGTGCGTATACGAATAAAAATTGCTAACAAACGCGAACGGTATTATTCTTAGTGATATTCTATTATTTCGTTGATATTTTTCTATAAAGCTCAAACTAGTTTATTGATTTACGATAGAATTGAATGGATTGTATATCGATTGATGATATTTCATTTTGATAAGGATGAATATTTTATATGGAATTTTGAAATTTGTTTAGTGGATAAAGATTTTCGTATTTTTTATTTATAGTATTTTTTTAATAGATATTTCTTTCTCTTTTTTTTTGTGAAATTTCTTTTCTAAATAATATTTCGAAATTTTTATTAATTTTGAAGGTAATTTATATTGATTCGTTGTCTTTCTATTTATTTGGTTGATTGTATTTTATTAATAAAAAATGAATTGGTAATTGGCTTGCCGATTGATGCTCACCTCTTTCTTATTTTTTTTAGATTATTAGGCTATCTTTAAATTTGAATTTTTCAACGAATTTTTTGGACGTCTTTAACTTCTGGCCGTTTTTAAAACACACTAAAAAAAAAAAAGATTC